GGGGCGGAGGAATGTGGCCAAACAGTGAGGTTGGGAGTGGCGCCCTGCGCAAGTAACCGCCAGCAACTGTGCAGGTTGCTGGCGGTGGAATCGGCTGGCAGCGTCTTGGCCTAGTGCAGGGCAGCGGGCAAGCGCTTGATGGGGCCAAGGTGTCTTTTCATCCACAGTTCCCTTGCCCAACACACACACACACACACACACACACGCGCGCGCGCGCGCAAAAACACCCTCACCCTTCACTGCTGCAGGCGGTGTTGCGGCAGAGAACCAGCTGTGCCCCTTCAATTACCCCGAAGGCGCCCCGCAAGGAAGCTGCGCCCACGTGTCCCTCGTAGAAATCGACTCGATGATGTCATTCAAGCAGGCGATGGCTTACCTGGTCACGGGCAATGAGGCCCACGCCCAGCTGGCGTCTGACATCATCTTGGCCTGGTCCACCAAGAACAAGGAGGTTGGGCCCCGCAACAAGAACGGACCCTTGGAGTCTGCCTGGTGAGGGCCCCGGCTGGCCCTGCGAGCGGGTCTGCGGCACGGGGCAAGAATGATACGTGATGTCTTGGTGCTTTGGCCTGCAAGCCTGGAATACACCAAATGCCAGGTGATGTGTTGGTTGTGACTGGGGGCTGATTGCTGCCTGGTGGGTGCTCTTTGTTGGAAAACCTGCATGCTAATCAAGTCCCTGCCCTAATCCTGCATTTGGCGCACCGTGCAGACTCCCCCCACCTCCACCTTCACCCCAACCCTATCCCCGACCATGGAATCCCCAGGAGCTGCTCCGCCATGGCCCGCGCGGTGGAGCTGCTGCGCTCCTCCTGGCCGGACTTCAGCAAGCAGACCCTCAGCGCCTACCTCAACTGGCTGGACGAGGTGCTCTACCCCCAGATGGACTTCTACACCGATGTCATCACGCCCACCGCCCTCAACAACGGCCGCAAACGTGACAGGGCAGGGGCTTGCTGACAACTGCATTCAGATGCAGCAGCCCACTTTGAGCTTTCTGTGTGTGGGGGTTGGGCTCCATTGCTCTGTGAATCCTAGTTTCAAAGCAATACTTGGATGAATTCGTCTGAGGTTTAGCCTTCAAAAAGAATTCATTGGCCTTCTTGTCATTTTGCTGCAGACTGCAAGCAGGACCCTAAACCCTGTGCCTTCAGCGCCACCGAAACCCACCTCCAAACGCTCCCTCCAAAACTTGCAGACCTGTACGGCAACTGGCACGCGTCCGTCGCCGACTGCTTCGTGTCCGCGGGCATCCTGGCCGACGACCGCGTCCGCTACGAGAAGGGCGTGGCGCTGCTGAAGAAGACCACGGCCGAGTACTTCAAGTGGGGCCGCGGCGAGTGGGCCGAGTGGGCCGGGCAGGCCCGCCTGGTGGGAGAGTCGAGCGAGACGCTGCGCGACATCTTCCACACCCAGTTTGGCCTGGGCAGCCTGCTGCAGGCCGCGGAGTCCGCGTGGATCCAGGGGCGGGACGAGTACTCGACGGCCGACTACGCGCTCGCGGCCGCCATGGAGTTTCACGCGCGCATCATCAACGCGCGCGACGCGCGCGACGAGACCGCGATGCCGCCGGGGTACAAGTTCTTCGAGAGCATCCCCCCGGCGCCGGAGGGCTGCGCGTGGCGTTGGGACATGGAGTCGCAGATTTGGACCTCGTGGGGGCGCCCCGTCAACTCCAGCGCCAACGGCAACAGGACGGCGGGCAGCAATGCGACCATGGTCAGCGGCGATGACGACGACGGCGACGACGACGGGCCCCTCAAGGCCAACGCCACCGCCAATGCCAACGCGACGGGCAACGCGACGTTCGCGGGCTCTAGCGCCAACAGCGCCGGCAGCCCCGTGTTCGTTGGCGTCAACACCACCGCCAACACAATCCAGCCTACGGTCAATGCGACTGTGAATGGGTCACTCGCGGCTGCCAGCGCGCCCGCATATGCGCCTGTGTCGCTCGCCAACCTCGCTGCCTATGGGCCACTGGCAGCGAGCTCCAGCGACAACGCGACCACCGGCCTTCCAGCTGTGGGCCCCAATGTGCCAGGCAACACGACCAGCAACTCTTCCCTAGTGGCGCTCAACGCCACTGTGACCGCCAATGCCACTATTGACGTCAACGCCACTGTGGCCGCCAACGCCACTATCGACGTCAACGCCACCGTGGCCGCCAACGTCACTCTTGACAGCAACACCACCGCAGCCGCCAACGCGACCCTTGCCGTCAACGCCACCCTCAACGGCACTGTGGACAGTAACGCCACCGTCGCGCCGCCGCCGGGCCCGCCGCCGGCGGTGCAGTGCAGCGTCTTGAACGACGGCCACAAGTATGTCCTGGGGATCAAATACATCCCCGCCGGCTGGGAGCTGGGGTTCAACCACTTTGTGGGGCGGCTGGGGATGCAGATGCCGGAGACGGCGGCGATGCTGCAGCGGTACCCAGTGGACTGGTATGAGTTCTGCTGGTGAGCTGCTGGGCGTGCAAAGGGCCACGATTCGAGGTGCAGGCAGCTTTGTGGGAATGCGCCAGTGGCTGAAAAGAAGGGATGGGGGCTCGGATCGGGGTGTGCCATATGCGCAAAGGAATGTGGGGGGAACGATAGCTGGAAAGGAACGGACAGCGCAACAAGGGAAGGCGCTGCTTACTAGGCAGCAGGGCGGCGGGGTCACGGTTGAATTCAGAGCCCAGCACGGCACAAGTCAATCATATGCCTGCAGGATTTGGCTGACTGTCACCCTGACCACCTGGTGACCCATGCATGACCTTCACCCCCGCCCCTCTCACCTCGTCATTCCAGGGGCCTCGGCACGCTGACGCACGCGAACAGCGCGGCCCAGCTGTGGCGGCCGGGGGTGAAGCAGAGCGTGCTCTGCAAGCGGGCCAAGGCCAAGGCAAGGAGGACCGGGTGGCGCGGGCGCAGGCGCGAGGGTGACGAGGAGTGAGGGGACTCCGGGCGCCGATACCTGGACCAGTCCAGGTCGCTGGGCGCCTGCTAGCTCGTGCGCTGCCGCCTGCACCTGAGACATGCTCATCGCATCCTGACCACGTGGGGTGGTTCACCATACGCCTCTTGCATGGTACTGCTTTTTTGTGAAGAGATTGCACTCTGGCAGTGACCTTAGCGGTGCAGTCTGACTGCTTCCAAGAAGCGCACACAGCAGCTATCTGGGTGACCTTGATTAGCCTTGACTCACAATTCCTACAATTGATTCCTGCCGCGTTCCCCGTTTGAATTCCTTGGCTGCCCGCGCGTATCGATGTGGCAGCACACTGTGCGCCGCTGTGTGGTGTGGGAAGACCCTCTTCCCGCTTCCGCAGCTCGATCTGGATTGCGATATTGCCATTGTACCGACATCAATGTGTTGGCAACAGGAGTGCTCCGCTCGCCCTCTGTTTGGCGGCGCAGAAGAAATCCAGGCCACCTGTGCAGTCAAGAAAATCGCGCCTGCGCACGCAACGCCCCAGTGCTGATTGCCACACGCGTGTTTGTTTCTCGTGCACAGCCATGCCAAACACATGCGAAATTCAGGTCCTGCGAGACGTCGCTGGCTGCATGCGAACCAAAGCTGTGCGTAACGACGCCACTTGCAGGCTGATGTGTGCCGCAATGTAGTGTTTCCTACAGGCGACAGGCCGGTCGTTACCTCGCAGAGCAAGTGAAAATTTTCAGCACTACTGCAGCAAGGGGCTGCTCATGCAACGGGTATTCTCAGGCCTTCAAAAGTGAAGTGATTGGAGGATGCAGGTCGTCACCAGACACGCAATCAGTCATGCCTCGACATGCCTCGAGATATAATACTAGATCGAGCCGGGAGATTTCATTCCTGCAATTTCAGAGGGTACTTATGGATTGGTATTTAAGCGCGTGCAAGTTGGCTGGAAAGCTGGCTGGCCTACATCGTCCCAGGCTTGGGAACACGCGTGTGCTGCATGTGGCAGAAAGCAAGGCGCGTTGTGGAGACGTTGGCCGCAAGTATTTGTGGCCATCCGAAGTTGAGCCGTTGCTGGCGCCAGGGGTGCAGGGGGGCCCAGTGCTGCCCCAGGGTGTGTCATCTGCGCTGACAAGGCGACTTTACGTGCGAGAGCCCGGCAGACAGCAACGTTGCACCAGGCGCGGGGGTTGAGTCCCTTCAATCCAGGGCTCTCGGCGAAATCAAAACTGAACTGAGCATCAGCCTTCACAAGAGCCCAACCACCTGTATGGGGTGCCTAGCCTACTCCTACTCACCTACTCCTGGGCTGGCAGCTGCACAGGAGCCTGCGAGTACGCTCGATGATTTTCAAATAATGTATCTTTTAGTTTTTCGCGATCGGGGACGGCAGTGGCCCACGGCCGCTGCCCGCGGGTGACTCGGATCGGGACCGCGGCCAGCCGCGTGAATACCGCATTAAAGCCTTGAAGTGATCCAAGTATGCGTCAATCAGGACAGATCGGTGGCTGGTCGGGTTGTTGGTTGCCGGTTGGGCACTCACAACAGAATACTCATCTGCGGCCGAGCCTTGGCGAGACCTGCAACGCTGCACAGCCTTGCCCTGCCCACCCAAGAACCGGAGGCCCTGCAGCGCACCACACCTTGAAGCGGCTCGGGGGGCGTGGGCGTGGCACCGTCCTTCCGCGGGTCCCAGGGACACGTCTTGCCGCACTTCCGCCACATCCCCCTGGGGTCGAACAATCCTGGTACCACCTTCCCACCGGCTGAGGTTTGCAGGACTTGGGTGATCAGGGAGCCGACGTTTGCTGTGCTGTCGTCACAAAACAGCCAAGTGTTTGGCTGCTTGGGGGCGGGCAACGCACGGCGTGCCGCCGCGCGGGCCAGCGGGCTCTCGAGGCAGGCCGCCCCGTCCGCAGGGGCGGCCGTGCCGCCCGCGTCACCTGCCGGTGGCGCTGCCATAACGCCGCCAGGCGGGGTCCACCAACCCGGCACCTGCTTTGGGTCCAGCATGTGCGCCAGTGTGTCGCGGGTGATTAGCAGGGCAAATGCGTCATTGCCGCACAACTGGATGCTGGCCGCGTCCACTGATGTCAGCAGCTGCCCCAGGTCCATCAGGCCGGATGCGGCGGCCATGCTGGCTGCACCTGCTGGGGCGACATCATTTCGGAGGAAAGAATAAGAGGATCAAGAGCAGCAAAAGGGGCCTCTGGATACATGTCACGATTCAACACGGACGAGATGCAAAACTTCTGCAGGGCAGCGTAGATGCCGCATCGGCCGCGGCCACGACCTGGGGAGGACATGTGGGCTGGCCCCAGCTCTCTGCGGCAGCGCGTCTCCACCCATGTGGACCCCAGAGTCGTACTGGCACCCACGCCCCCCAAAAAGACACACAACACAACAGAATACTCATCACCTCTTTGCCTGCCAGACGATGAGCTCTTTCTACAAGGCTGGGGTGGATGCAGCAGGAGCGCGAGCAGCTGCTGTGCAAGCAGGAAGCAGACAGGGCTCTGGAGCGAGACAGCGAGAACCGATGGTCGTATGTATTACCCAAATATTTGTTTCTGATCATGTATTACACGCGTTCAGACATTTTAAGGCAGTGCTTGACAGCAGCCTGTCGAGGTGCGGGGCCCGACAGTGACGCTCGGTCTGCAGCTGCCAATCGCACCGCGAAGCCCGAATTATTACACATTGACATGTTCGAAGTTCATTTGCACCGCCACGACGCGCCCGGACCCCGCCAGCCCAGGAGTAGGTGAGTAGGAGTAGGCTAGGCACCCCATACCCAACCACCTTTGGAAAGCAATCCGCCTATGCAATCTGCCAGGCGGGCTCAAACGTTGCATGTGTGGGACGAGTTGCTGGACCGTCATCCGCATTGTGGGCAGCGGCGTTTGTCATTTGAAGCCGAGTAAGACAAATTCGTGCCAGTGCGTCAGAGGCTGGGCATGCAGTGCCACTGTCCTCCTTGCGATGCAGTTGCTCCGACTTGAGTCGACAGCGCACCGCCTTCTCAGCTGCGCATGCACCATGGCATGCAGTACGATGCAGGGGTAGTTGATCTCGCTTGTGTGCCAGATAACAATCTGATACAACACGTTTGCCAGCTGGTACGATAACCCTCTGCAAACCGAGTGGCCCTGCGTGTGAAATCCATGTCAGCTGCACAGACACGGGACCTCCTCGCCAGGCAGGCAGTGGTGGCAGTGTTTAAAGGCATCGAGCACCGACCATGCAGGTAGGAGGAGCTTTGAGATCGCGGGCAACTGACATGCCCCCTCCGAGCCAAAGTGCCGCTGCATGTGTTCAAAGTCGTGTTGCAATTGCATCATTGTGCATGCATGCATGCACGTATGCATGCGCAACCGCCATCACGGCGCACAGGCCGATGTCAGCACGTCACTTGCATCTCTTGATGGCGACACACTAGAGCTCGGACATGCGTGTATGGGGTGCTACTGCGCAGGTTCCGGACGTCGCTGTGCCCCGACAAGTGCCATCACCCCACTGACTGGGGCCTCTTCGACGTTCAGGCATACCTTGAATATGAGAAGCCAGGTGGGCGGCAGTCATGGCAGCAAGGCTGCGGCCAGAGCTGGCTGCAGCAAAGCGCCCGCAGGCACTGCTGCAGTGCACTTGCCACCCCCTCGCCCTTGCACGCACGAGTGCGTTGCGAGTGACACTCCTTGGGGGCGCAGCCGTGTGCGCGAACGCCACCTCATACCCGATTCTTGTCCTTGTGCAATCGGCCGCAGGCGAGTACGGCGACGAGAAGAGGGGGCAGTTCGCATTTGATCTGAAGGGGCAGCAGGGCCGCAGCGGCCCCCTAGCGGACACGCAGGTGAGCAAAGCGCCCCCAAACCCTCTTCCCGAGCTGGGGCGCCCAAACCAGACTCCCTATTCTGTACTGCGACACCCCCCCGTCCGCCGCCAGGCGCATGTGCTCCCGGCCCCGCCTGTCTCGCGCGCAGCTCTCACGCGCACGGCCGCCCCACACACCAGCTGGACGCACCCTTGATGTCGACGCACGCCCCCGCAGGCTGCGCTGGCAGAGCAGGTCCAGGCGCTGTCGCCCGGCGACTGGGTCTGGCTAAGCTGGGTGCACGAGTATGTCCACGACGGCGGCTCGTCGTTCCCGGAACGCCCCGTGACTGCTATGCAGCCCATCAGTCCAGAGGAAGGGCAGGCGCTTGCTGCCGCTAGCAAGGCGGCATAACAAACGCAGTGCGCCGTCTGCTTTATACGTGGTCAACGCTGCCAGGGCTGTACGCGCACTGCCAACAGCAGGCCGCTGGTGGAACGATAGCCTGGCAGACATGGCTGGCGGCCTTCATTTTGTGGGGTGCCGGGCCACTTTACAGTTGGCGCCAGGATGTGGCTGCATGGACAAAAAGTAGTGTATGGCTTGTGAACAATCAAGGCGGCCTGCAACAGGCGGCCCCCTCCCCTGCAAACAGTTTACCCTGGACAGAACGTGACAGCGGTCAGTGAGTTTTGCTGCAATGCACACATTTGCAGTGCACACACTGCATACAATTTGGCTGCCAATGGCTTCGCACAAGTAATGTGGTGAGCGGCTGGAATGTGATTTGCAAACAACCACTGGGCGTGCTTTGCCGTATAGAAGCGTGTAAGCATCCGCCGCAAATAATCAAGCGCAGGACGCCCTTGTACACAGGAAACCGGCTGCAACTCCGCCTGCCTGGCCCTGCCTCTTGACGCTGCACAGGCTGGGGCCCACCACCGTGCAATCTCTGCAGCACAGACAGCTTGTGGGATACATAATCAGAATTGAAGAAACACATGCGCACCCGCTTAGCCATGCATTTTCCGGAGGACAATGAACTTGAGGCGCCCGTCACCATGGTTCCACACGCGCTCGCGCGCCCGCTCAGCCGCATCCTGCGCGCGCACAGGCAGCGCCGCAGAACAGCGGGCCGCTTGTGAGCATCGGCGGCGGTGGCGGCGAGATACTGCGGTCAATACCAAGGCGCGCAAGCCTGCCACTGCAGTGGCAGCGGGGCGTCGTGCACATGACAGGGCTGTGCAAAAGCAGCTCCGACCTTCAGCACGAGTGGCCAGCCTGGAGAAGCCCCGCCTTTATCACCCCCAGGCGCGCCCACACCCAGACCCTGCACCCCAGGCACCAGCCCACCGTGTCCATGTTGGTCCTGATGCGCTGGTCAAAGGTCTGGGGCAGCTGGTAGTACCCGCACAGCAGGTGCCCCTGCTGCTGGGCGCGCCCCATCAGCGCCAGGTAGCTCACGCGCTCCCCCTCGGCTGGCATAGTCGGAGGGATGCGGGGGCAGCCACGTCGCACAAGCATGCGAGTCAGGCGAGGCAACGCAGGGTCTGAGAGCGTGCGGCAGCCATGCACGACCGGCCTGGCGCATGATGACACGACATGCAGGGTCGTCAAACTACATGCTCGCGCGCCAGCCAACATCCGCACAGGCCTGAACCTCAGCGCGCAGCCGGCAGGGGATGAGCGCGCACGGCTGGATGCACGCGGCGGCGCACCCGAGTACTCTGACGCGTCCACGATGGTCCGCAGCATCGCCCCCGCGGTGGTCTCCCCCAGCCGCAGGTGCAGCAGCAGCGCGGTCGGGTTGTAGGCGACATAGGCCAGGGCGCGCGCGGCAAAAGACGGGAAGTTCATAGAGACGCCCAGGGGCATGCGCGTGAGGTCGTCGAAACGGGTCTCGCCCAGCGAGGACATCTGGCGGGTTGCGGGTTTGAACGTGAGAGCGTTGTGAGGGCGTGTGCGTGTGCGCGTGCACATGCGCGTGTGTGCTGTGTGCACACGTGCATGCCGGGGGGTGAACGGTGCAAGGCAAACCGTGACGGAAGCAGTGCCGGCTTGAGGGCTGACGGCCAACTGTGATGGCACGTCGAATCATGCGCTGGTGTGTGGTTGCAGCGTGGCAGTGCTTCCATGCGCCCATTGCACAAGGACGGCCGGCGTGAGAATGGTGGCCTTTGTTCAGGCATCATCAGCACTCCGAAGCCCCACTTTTTGCGTGATGATGTTGATGGGGGACAGCCCCTTGTCCACCAGGGCCTTGCGGATGTTGAGCTGACACGAGAGGGAGCAGCAAGAGGCGGCATGGTATTGATTTGATCTTGAGGGGGGGGGGTCCTGGCGACTGCGTGCCAGACGACGCACACACTCTGGCCCGGCAAGCAGGCTGCAGCAAGCAGCCCGCAGCAAACGGGAACTTGCAATATGAAGGTGGCCCAGGTAAGGCGCGCTGCCACGGCCGCCGTGCACACCGTGGTCTGCATCACGAGTGAGTCCAGCCGGTGCATGATCAGGGAGTCGTCAGCAGGGCCCGCCCCGTTGGCCTCCTCCTGAGGCTGAGAGGCCTGGCAGGCGGGGGGAAGGGGGCGTAGCAGTGTGTCAACAAGTGGAGAGGGAGGTAGTGGCAGGACTGCATGTCTCGAGAGGGGCAACTTAGTGGGTGTCGGTGCCGCGGCGGGGTGTACCCAGGAAGCGCCCAATTAGTGGTCGCTCCACGCATGGGAGAAAAGGAGGGGCCATTGCCTGTTCTTGACCTGCACCCTCCTTGACCGCAGCCCTCTTCCTGCCGGCGTGAGGCCCCCCTCCTGCCCGCCCCCCCCCCTCACCGCGTCGGGGTCAATCCAGCGCTCGTCGCACAGCACCACCGCGCACTGCAGGCGGCGGAGGATGCAGGGGTCTGAAGGCATTAATATTGGGATGGGGTTGTGTGGCAAGGGATGAAGCTGGACACACACTTCGCAACAACCTCAACAGGCATCAAAGTGAGCAGCCCAGCAATCTTTCATCACATCAACCTTCCCCATGGAGAAAACCGCCAACCTCACCAATCACACGAATGACTCGTGCAGCACGCACCAACGCAGCCTCCTGCAAGCACCGCGCCCTGCACCCCTTCCCTCCTTCCCAGCCTTGCCCCACGCGAGCGCCCCACCTTGAACTTGGCCATGTCTACGTGCCTGAGCTCCCGCAGCTTCAGGGGGTCGCGCCTGACGTGGGAAACGCTGACGCGCTGCAGGTCCAGGGACCGCACCAGCCGCTTGAGGCGCTCGGGGGGGCAGACGCTGACCATCACCACCTGCAGTGCGCGGGGTTTGACCAGGGTTGATCGGGGTGCGGTGCAAAAGTGGTGCTGCAGCACGTGCGTGTAATAATGCAGTGGTGCACCTGATTAGTGAAGGCGGAGTGAACGAGTGAGGCAGGGGCCAGCGCGCACCTCGCTGCCGTGTGGGAGGGCGAAGTTGCCCTGGTCCAGCTCCAGCAGCAGCGACGCCGTGCACTCCGCGCCCGCCCAGCCGCAGAGCATCAGCTTCTGGGGGGTGTCGTAGGCGCTCTGGTCTATGTACTCCTGCAGGGTGCGGTCGCGGCGGGTAAGGAGGACTGGGCAGACTGAAGCTAGCAAGGGGGTGCGGCAGTGGAGCAGGCGGGGTGCAATGTAAACAGCGTTGCGTAGGGTCTGGGCAACACAGCCAATACTACTCTGTGCGCTGCAAAGCGTGCCGAGCCAAGACCAAAAGAACATGGATGTGCCACACACACGCAACAGCATTCTGCCAACGCACCCGCGGCACCCTCGCCATCGACACCCGAGGCGCTCTCCCAGCGTCCGCCCGCCGCCGCTTGCCGCCCGCGCCGCTGCCGCACCCGCAGCCGCCGTCCCCCGTCTCCTCCTCTTCCGCGGCCTCCTCCGCCCGCCGCTCGCTGTCCGGCGCCGCACCGTCTGCGCCGTTGCCACCGCCGCCGTCTGTGCCGGATGAGGAAGGGCTCGCCCAGTCTCCCATGCACTGGGGATCCCACGATGGGTCGTGGCCCCCATTGCTGCCGTCAAAAGAGGCCCCAATGCTGGCGAGCGACGGCAGAGCGCCGCCGCCACCCAGGAACGCCCAGCTGGCGTTGGCCGCGGCCTTGGCGGCGGCGGCCGGGTCGTTTGGGGTGAGCGCGGCGGGGAGGGGGGCGTAGTGGACAGCGGACACGGACGTGGGGCGGCTGATAATGATCTGGTCC